AACAGGTTTTCTTTCTCATCAGTGTTGATGATTAGAGGTTTGCATCATATTCCATTAATTCATCTTTTGCCTCTCCATCTCCTAACCAAATACCTACCTATTAAATTTATCTCAAGTTAACTATCAATATATAACTGACATTTCCCAGCATCAGCAGAAGCTCACCCACCAAGATCTATAAAGAGCTCCTCACATATCTCAAAATACCAACATAAGCAGTGAGTGTTGGAATAATATAATCTACAATGATATACAGCAAAGGGATCCTTGCTTACAAGGAAGTCAGCAAAAAATGCAATATAGTAATTTAAAATATTAGACTTCATTTTGTGCCAAACTGCAATTCAGCTAAATTTGATAGATAGGTGATTGGCCAAATTCCTGAACATCGAGCCAGAATGCACCCAAATCACAGACCAACCTAACAGCACCAACATGTTGGGTTCAGAGACATGATTTTAAATTCTGCCAGTGGTGCTTAACAAAAGAGATGATAGATGGAATAAAAAGATGGTGGCTAGAAATGAAATGTTGATTTTATTCACAGATCAAGTGAGAAGTTGATAGTTGGAAAAAGAAAGAGCAGTAAAAACACTCTATATTCATTACATTTATATTTTATATGTTTAATAAGTATATAATATATAAATAGTTTGTTTTTTGTTCTTATTGAAAAATGTGTAGATGTGCAGTGGTAAAACAATTATTCAATACTTTTTTACCTAGTATTAGAACTGGAATCGGGAGCTTCTCATAGGTTAATTATAACAAATAATAATAAGAAAAAATAAAAAAAAATAATGTAAATCCATAGAATAAACAGTGTAATTAATTAGTGATTCCCAAGTGGTAAATCAAATAAGAAAAATGTCATGACATCACAAATACAGAAGTTAAAAATTTTTCAAATTGAAGGAGCCACAGCAATGAAACACTGATTAAAGTAGCTGTTGGATACAACAAACCACCCGAGATCACCCAAGACCTTTATTGCTGTTGTCTTTTACTTTGCTCATGCTGTTTTTTTTATTATTGTCATTTATTGTTTTCATCCAATATTTCATGTACACAGTTATTAATATTTTGGGTGAATTTGGTTGGTAAACGTTTCAATAGTATACAACATATGTTTACCCCCTCTCTCTTTCACCTGCTCATCCTAGCAGTAAATATCTTCATATAACTGTTTCATCTCCATCTCTGTTCTTTAGGCCTCTCCTCACAGTCCCAGAACCAATAATACTTAATCCATTTTTTACCGCTGCACACGCCACCTTTTTAAATGATCTATTCCTGTATTATTTCACAATACATTTATGTACATTAGAGGATTATACTATGGTGTTTGCAGTGTTTTTTATTTTACACAGTACGTGAAATTTATATTTTGTAGTGAAATATAGATTTTATTTTGTTTTACTCCTGTTTTTCTCTCTGTATGTTACTTTTTCTCACTTGATCTGTCTGTAAAATGTTCCTATTAGTATATTGCAAAAAATACACATAATAATATATTAAATGTATTATATTTCACTTTTGCTTCTTTTTTGTATTTACTGTAAAAGCCCATTCCTCTCCTGTAGGCAAAATCTCTTTTCTTCCAGTTTCAATGAATGATCACTTGTCCTTTTTACAAACCCAATAATGCTAAAGGTCTGTATCAATATCTGTTTTTTTTTGTTGTTGTTGTTTTTTTAAATGGATTCAACTTAAAATAAGATAATTACATATTCATGTAGAGTTTTCCTTTTGGACATTGCTATCTAATAATATTCTAATATTCTTATTTTGGGGTTATGGGTAATAGGTAGCATCCCTAATATATTTCTCTTACGCTAAATCAATCAGTAAAATTATTTTTAAATGATTGTCTTATAACAAGAATCATGTATTCTAGCAGCTTACTCTGCTGATTTTTCACTGTTACACAACATTTCAAATATAATTCAATGTTTTATAGAAACGATTACACATTATCTTTGAAGTCTGGAAAAAGAGGATTGATGGCATATTTCCATATGGCGCACACGGGTGAGCCAGACATATTGAATTTTATAACTCTCCTAAATCTGTTGCAGTAGAAGAGCATGCTGCATTTTTCTCTATGGTGATTTTTTTTTATTGTCTGTCGAAATAAAATGTAGCACAAGCCAGTATTTGTTAAAATGCATACTTGGCATTCAGCAGATTAGTTATTTTCTGAACTTTTCTGTATATTGAGCAAAGTAAATGGTCTGTGGAGTAAAAGCACTAACATCCTCAAGGTAAACATTACATTTTTGTAAAGCTATTTGTAAAACAGTCTTAAAGCAAATGATCACTCAACAACACTGTCATTTATAAATCCAAATATTAAAGTATCTTTCTTGATAGCTCTGACAATCCAATAAATCATTGACAAATTTGCCTATCTTTTATTTGAAGATGATAGCTAACATTATTGTATATATATAAAAAATAATATAGTATATTACAGCTGCATATAATACCATATCTAACCACTCTGTGTTTTAGCTCATTTGTACATATCATCATCTTAGACCAGGCATAGACAACCTTCGGCACTCCAGATGTTTTGGACTACACATTGCATGATGCTTTGCCAGCACTATGGGTGCCAGAGCATTATGTGGGATGTAGTCCAAAACATCTGGAGTGCCAAAGGTTGCCTATCCCTGTCGTAGACACATATTTGTGTAAATAGAATGCCCTTTAGCACATAAGCAATTGGTAATAGGACTCTCATCTCTTACAGTTCCTTTATAAATTATTTAGTTTATTGACAAATCTAAAGACAAGTATAAAAATAAAACAAGCCAAAGTCAAAAAGGAAATACACAAAACTAAATGAACAAACAAAAAAATGCAAAGAGTCAAATCTAAAGTATTATTCTCCAATGCGGAAAGGCTCTCCAGGGCAACACATCTCCAAACTGAATGGCCATCAGAAAATGCTAACAATAACTGAAAGGTGATAAAGGACACACTATACCGGTATTGACATTTGTTAATTTACATATGTAAATGGCAGCACTCACATCATAAAAGCTGAGTGAAAGCATTAATAAAAGGGATATAGGGGTTGTTAAAACTGTAGTGACATAGTCCTCAACTCTTAATGAGAAAGTAAATCAATGTCCATGCACAGTCTTTAGATGGAATGCTAGAAGCTAGAGTGGTAAACCTAAGTGCTTTCAATAATTAGCTTATCAAAGGTTAATATGTTCATATATTTCTAATACTTTTAATGTAAAGTTATTTGTTTTACTGTATGGACATATAGGTAACTCCACGTAACATGGATTTTGTAATTTATTTTTGCACATGCTGTTTGATGTTTTTATAATACACATATTTTCCCTTACTGTAGTCCAACTGACCATTCCAAGGCCAGTTACATTCTGGACATGTGTCCACAGTGTTGCCTCCAAAACATTGTTATTTGACAACAAAAAAAACATAGTTTTCTTTTTCGTTGTGATATGGAGATTTAAATATTAGTCAGTGTACTGCAAAATATATACATAATATAAAAATGTGTGCATGTATTCCAGTGCAAATATATTTTCCTATCATTTGGTTCAAATATCAAGTGAGAAAAGTAACCAATAGAGTGAAAAAAGTAGGGACAATAGAAAATCCATCTTATGATATTATTTATTAAACAGATAACATATAAATATAGATTTTTCTTGCTGCTTCTATTTTTTTTTCATCTATTGATCACTTCTCATTTGATCTGTGAATACAATTTAACAATTAATGTCTGCCACCTAACCATCATTCCTCTTTCTTTTTTTTTTTTTGCACTGTGAACGGAACTCTAAGCCACGTAACAAATGAAAAGGCTCATTCGTTGTTCATTTTGTTTGTTTGGTGATTTGCCCATACAGAGTTTCAATGTTTGGGATTTTGGACATATCGCTAGTTGCCCAAAATATAAAAGTTCAATGCAGAAGTCTTTTAAATATACCTCAAAAATGACAGAGAACTTTTGAAATGTCAATACTTCTTTCTACAATAATAACCAGTGCAGGTGTATGTGCACAATATAAAATTAATGAGTCTTTATCAAAGTGCAATCATAAGTCAAGTAAGCCCTCATACTTACTTATTTCATTTTACAATTTTAAATGAGAAAAAAATCCAAGTATATGGTGCGAGAACGGTATTTGGTGGGATTTTCTTCATACTTATACATTTAAATTTTCTAATAAAATACTCTACATTTTTATTTATATATTACTTTGAATATATTTCTATGAAAATCAAATATTTTCTAGAGCATCATGTAATCACTTTTTGAAATTAAATAATATTTATTTTCTATATTTTCATATTCAGTGAATTAGTGTACAAGGGTATTTTTAATCATTGCTATAATTCACTATTTGTAAAATGCAAGGTATGGGTGTTTGGGATAGAGGACCACTCATTAGATTGAGTTCTACATATATCCCTCTGCTTTCATTAGTTTCCCAAATGGTTTGTCAATTTCTCAGAGTTAAAAATGGGAGATATCGCCAAAGTTAAGCAACCCGGTAAGTATCTACTTATGGGTCAAACTCTGATTGTGAGGGAAAGATTAAATCTTTTCCTTCACTGTGGATTCAGTATTTCTGCAAAATTAGTTGTGATTTCAAGATATTAAAATGGTGATTCCAAAAGGGTTTGGGTTGCAGCCAGCGAAAATTGGGGTCAGAGATATGATTTGTATAAATATACTTATCACCTATCAGATTTGTTACAAGATAGAGAATTAAACTTGTTTGATATACGGGGAAGGGGCCTGACCGCCGGTGGGATCAGACGTGTTGTGCCTGAGCTCCCACTCCAGGGCCCAACGGGCGGCGCAAATTGGAGGCCACCCGTGACAAACAACCCACACCTGGACCACACAGACCCCCAGTAACAGGGGCGAGCAGAAATACCGCCTGAACCTTGTCCGGCGCCGACAGTAACCCGCCCTGGGCCCGGAGCTGGATGGAGCTTGAGCCAGGATGAGACGGCCGCTCTCCCGGGTCTCCGGCCGTCTCATCCTGGCTCAAGCTCCATCCAGCTCCGGGCCCAGGGCGGGCTTTCCCCCCCGGATCGGGGGGGTCATCCCGGTCTACAAGGGCATCAAGCAGAGTTTCGGCCTGGCCCTCAACACCCGCCCTGGCAAGGAATCTCCAGCGAGCGATAATCAACAAAATGGCCGCCGTGCGCCAGCCATGTGCGCGAACAGCCGGAATGAACTAGCTGATTGAAGGGGAAATTACCAAGCACTATCAGACCACCATGACAGCCTATCCCAGGCTTATACTGGTGGACTATGCTGGCAAGATCAAGGTACAGGCTGTGGGCAAACAATAAGGGGAAAAGAGGCATACACAAAACGGGACCCTACTGAACTGCCCTTGTACAGCAGACCCACAGGGGTCACCAGACCCTACAGCTTCCAACCCCAACAAAACAGGCCAGAGGGACCGAAACAACAAGCCACCCACCCTGCATCCAGTTAGAAAGGGCCCACCCTACCAGACCGGACCTACGACACCATTACCACCACCATACGCCAATGCACAGCGCAGGATGACTAAACTGCAGCGCCAGGGCACAAGCGGCACCCACCAAGTGAACGCACAGCAGCGAGAGCCGCAGGAGAACTACCTGCTGACCAACTTTGGAGCCGACGCAGGCACAGTCGACCACACAAATCCTGCTCAACCTGGCGGACTCATGTAACTAAGCCGAAACCCAGAGACAATGATCTAAGCTCATTATTACCTGCCCTAGCATAAACTCCAACTGTACTCAGCCAGACACACTGCCTCCAGCCCACACAGCATGATTCATGCAGTATACCAAGCAAGGAACACAATCTAGAATGCCACACTAGCAAACTTTAGGGCTCTGACACGAATGAAAAGCGTCACCAAACTTAACCCTAATGTACAGATGTATATAATGTTGAACTTGAGGCATTCCCATAACTTGCTAATACATTTTAAGCTAGACCATATATGTTTGGTCACTCACTCAGTGCCTAGGGCACATACTTCAGTTCAGATAACCTAAGAACTAAGCCACGGTGAATCCCTCAACTACTGACAAATATCACTCTACTATTGTTATTCGTTTGTTATCATACAAAAAATGTGCAATCCCTACTAATGCCATGTTACTGATATTCTATGTTTATCACACTATGCTTGATAGTGCTGTTGTGGCATATGAAGCTTGTCTATACACACTTGCACGATAAAAATAAAGAATTAAAAAAAAAAATGATATACTTCATTGTCAGCAAGTCAAGCACTATGTATCTAAATGTATACCTCTGACACTGTTTGAACATCTAAATGATCAATTGTCAGAGCATTTATGGTTTTCTACATAATGAGGATGCTGACAGATATATAGTCAGCAACTCTGCCTTATTTTATTAGTGAGTAGTTAGAGGACCCAGGGGTCACCTTGAAGGATAACAAGAGGGAGAATTTATCTTTTTGCTTAGACATCATTGTTCTATGAACAAACAGGAACAACACTTACCTTTTAAGCTATATTTTGGCTAGCTCTATTATAAAGAAAGTATAATACAAATAGTATGTTCTTTAGATACATGCTGAAAGAAGCCTCATTATCATGTATATCACATATTCATCTCTCTGGTTATCTTTGATGCTGGTGTTTGTCCGCCATATTGTTCTTTATCGGCCATTTTGATTTTTGTCGATTGTTGCTGTGTGAGTGAATTAGGATGGACTGGATCTTGGTTATCATTGTTTAGAGCAGGGTGTGTTAAATTCAGCAGAACCTAGTAAAAACACAGGGAGAATTCATTACTTGAAAAAAAAATGACTGAAATTGTAACGGAGCTCCCTGTACTCCGACCGAGTACCCTCCATTGATGGATGCTCCTAGCGCTTCCTGAGGACTCCAAACACTGCAGCAGACACCACAACCACCGCAGACTCCACAACTGCCGTAGCTTAACTGGAGTCTCGCCGTCTTCCTTCCACCCTGGATCAGCTTCTGTCCTCCAGGACCGTGTGGGGAAGACCTCTCCTGCAGGAGAGCGTAACAGGAACAGCTCTTAAAAGAGCTAAGTGATTAAAAGCTCAGGGGAATATGCAGAGCATAGCAATCCCCAGTGTGATATAGCAGTTCCCTCCAATAATGAGACAAGGCTACGTATTGAGGGTCAAGAAGATCTGTTTATTGGCACACAAAGAACCTTCTTTTATGCAGGTTTCCCTGAGATAGGACCACCCACAGGGTTTTACACAACAACCAATAATAAACGTATATTACAGAAACACTCCCAGCAATTACACACAAAAATCCTCCCCTCTGCCTGTGATCTAATTATGGTACACAATGGGTTAACATAATTAAACACAGGCAGTAAAAATACAGTTTTTACCCATACCCTGTAACTTTAAAACCATACATCCAATCTTCATATAAATTACATATTTAGAATCAATCCATTCAGGGGAGCAACATATTAAAAAATGGCACAAATCAGACAAGGGGTTCAAAAGTTAGCAAAAGTATATTTTGGGTCCTGGCTGGCAGCATTGTTATCTGTCCCAAACCGGTTTTACAGAGCCCTCTATCCTAGAGACAATGGGGAAAATAATCCACTTATATCCAGGGATAGAGGCAGACTCCATTAACCACATGTTAGCAAAAGACACAAAAAGACACATAAATACCTAACTCCTATCATACTGAACAGAACCCCCACATTCAACCTATCCCCAGATGGCTTGGATCTGAGCGCTCAATATATCCAAACAGCGCTCAGATCCCACAAATACAGTCAAATCGCCATACCCACTAGGTCCATAGTCATGGGGCAGAAGGCTGGCAATTAGGCTTCTCCATAACACAGGGAAGCAGGGCAATTTGTCAAATAAAATAACAGTTACAAAGGGCAGTCTGTAACAGAAATAAATTAAAGGGACACCACACACATGAAGTATTGTAGCTTGCTGATATGCAGACTGAGGAAGCCAAAAAGGACGGCGAAACGCGTTTCTGAACAGAGGAGGGAGAGGATTCTTTTTATAATACATATGTATATTTTATTTATGTTTATTTTGTGTATAAATAAATTATATTGTTAGTTATCCATACTCCATCTTCTCTCCATATTTGTGGTATCCATAAGAGGGAAGTGACATCTGCTTACTGACATCTATGCCTACAATACTTAGAGCCAGTTTAAAAGGCTCTAAACAAGGTGAGCAATTGAGCTTATATATTTAATTTCTACTATCTGCTCATACTATCTACACCAAGGAATTTTTTTCTATGTTTTATTTGGAGATATAATTTACCGACAGAAAGAAAGGAAGAAAGCCCCCTACTTTAAGGTATTATTGCCTACCTTTAAAGGCAAAGACGCTGTTGTGTTTAGAGCCTATACCATTATAAAAGGCTCTCCCAAATGTGTGTTTTATTCTTCTTATCCATTTGATATACCTTCCAACATATCAGACAATACTACTCTCTATATTTATATTTCTGTTTATTTTTACATGTATACCCCACATATACTGTAAGGGGTAAGTGTATTAGTATAAATTTTATATCACTATTTAGAGCTGCACTTACATCAAGCTGTGTTTGAAGTCTCTTGCACTCTGATCACTACTTGGTATTTTGTTATTTGTATGTTTTATAATTATAGTGTCTTTTGGAGTATTCACTAAAAGTGCACATAGCAGCTGTATCTTATAATTCACACTAAATAATATATTAAGCGCCTTTACTATTGTCCACATCCACTTTTGTGTTTTTTTTTGCTGATATGCTTTATGTCTGAAGTGTGTCCCTTTCTTTTTATATTTTACAAAAAGTATTGATTTCAATAGAAATTGGCACATTTATAACTGAACCTTGTTATGTGCCCTGGCTTTCAAGGAGACAGGGCATATTACTTCCTGGTTTAATTAGCTCAGAGGATCTAAACTTAAGAGGCAGTATTTGTGAAAAGCATCTGCCTTGCACAGACTTTTCATTGAGCTGCATGATAGGACAGCTACAGAAAACCTGGGCTAAGGAAGTAGAGTAGGCTTACAAAGGCTGCAGATAAGAGATCTGCAGCTTTTGCAATTTTTTTATATATTCCCCATTGAAAAAAAATCCTAGTTAAATGTATGCTTGTTTTCATTGGGGTATATCTACTAAACAGTAATGTTGTTGGTTTTCTTTTTGCATTCAGACTCTGAAGTGCCCATTTAAACTTACCAATATACAATTCACTTTGAATTCCCTTTTGTAAATAATCCTGTTAGCATTCTGTGCGCAATATAGTAGTGTTCAAGTTGTGACTTCTGGATATATATATCAGTATATAGAGAAGGTTAAAGAAAAAAAAATCATACTCCAAAACCTCCTAATTTTGAAATAATACAGTGACCTCAAACATTAACCTTTTATGTTTTTACTATATCTGTTATAGCATTTTCCGAGAAAGGGAACATCGTTGTCTCTGAGTTCTTCTATATCACCAGTTTTGGTATATAAAGTTTAAAATCCTCTTTCTAGTGAAATATCCTCCTCTGAAATCATTATTATTTCTCATATTAGCATAAGCTAGAGAATCAGTATGTAAAGGAGTACTTTATGGCATGAGTTATATGGTCACACCATGCACAAAATAAAAGTAATGGCATTTTATTCCAGTAGAATGACAAATATTCAAGTCATTTCTCTTATTCAGCCAGTGAAACATAAAACTTTTATGCACGATTGCCTTACAGAATTTTGCCACAGATGATTTGTATATCCCCACAGTCTGCCAGGTCTGTGAATTATTTTGCAAACCAAATCATGGCATTTTTCTCTCATCTCGTGTTGCCATAGTAACATTTTTGTTAAATGGAAGCTAAATATTTAAATCCTAAAAAGTAAAAAAAAATGTATAATAACCATAGTAGCATATTACAATCTTTGTTTCATTGCTTTAATTATTCTAAAAGGTCTGGAATAAAATAATACATTTACAATGAAATACTGCAAAAATCAAGTAAATGATTATTTCAGTTTTGGGCAGCTTCTAGTCAAATGTAACATTTATGTTGTTACAGATCACTGACTGCCATTATTCATATTATTGTCCTCTACATCTTTGATAACCTTCAGTTATGTTACTGGTCTTATCAAAAATAGTTAAAACTTCATATGCAAAAAGTTCTAAAGTCCTAATGTGATTCCAGGAGTGGTGTTTTGGAGGAGAAAAATTATATATATATATATAGATATATATATATATATACACACATACATGACACATAAAGTACAATTAACCAATATGTCAATTGAAACTATATAGAGATATGCGTGGGTACTTTCAGTTGTAAGATACTAGTGTTATAAAAATAGAAAGTGTTACAACATACAAAACATTAAAAACATACAATTTACAATGCCCTCACTTCAAAAACAGTGTCCTTAAATGCTGACCAAATAGTCCACAAGTGGTTTTATACTGTCCGATAATAATCTCAGTCCTTTGTATAAAATAAAGTAATAACAGCCACAATAACTAGGTACACACTGTAGTATATTCTGTATACCAATGTCTTTTAATGTAGCAAATGGTAGAAATAAAAGTAACAGCTGCCATGTGAAGGCTCTTGCTATTAAACAGATGGTGTAACTCCAAATGTGCTGTAATACTATAGTACCAAAAAAAGGAACCCACAACTCCAATAATGGTGCAGGGA